CCCCAGGGCATGTCTGCTTCATTTTCCTGGATGGGTTTAGCCCTCTAAGTAAGTGTGGATGGGGGTGCAAGTCAGGCTGCAGGTTTTCAAAGAGAGGATTTTTATTTAGCACCATTGTCTTTGCATGTTGGGAACACCCCAAGCAAACCCTCCCCACCAAACCTGAGAAGGACTCCACTCTTATAACACTCAGCTTTGCTTTAGATTATTTGGTTTGGGTCTACCCACCCCCAGATGAACGCTCCTTGGGGCAGAAACAAAATCCAAGACTTCTCTGAGTTCCCTGCATTTGGCACAGGGCTTGGCACAGCATGGGAGCCAAACTTCCACTGTTACCTTGCCTTGCACTACACCCTCCAGAGACCACCCCTGCTTGCACACCCCCAGAGATGAGGGACTCCCTCCCTCCTGGGAGCTGGGAGCAGCACTGCTTCTGCCCTCTGCACCCTGGTTGAGCCTCCTCCTGTGACTGACAGCCCTTCAGTGTCAGAAGACAGAGGCCTTGCCCTTGTCTCATCGCTGCCTTTTCTTGTCAGCAAACATGTTAGCTGCATGAATTAGTGTCTGGGACTCCAAGGGATCACTTCAGAACTATTCCAGTTTGAGAGGCCCTCACAGGTTACTTCATTGTGTCCCTCCATGTGACAGCTGGAGAATCTGGGGCTCAGAGCCAGCCAGGGCCTTGCCGGGCTCACACCAAGGGTGGAAACAGAGCTCAGAAAGGGAACTAAGACCCTGACTCCCAGTGCTCTGTTCACCTCGGGGGCTAGGGCTGGGCCGGGCCTACTCCCTCTCTTGGGGTCAGTGGTGAGGGGACCCCCCTGCTCCATCTGGGCCCCATCACTCCTCTCCCTCCCAGAGGCACCACTTCGCTCAGGCCATCGCCATCCTCAACACCCATGGTTGCAACATCTTCGACCACTTCTCCCGGAAGGTAATGGGGCCAGGGTGGGGGTGAGGGGGTAGGCTCAGAACAGGAGAAGGGGACTACAGGTGGAGGCTCCTCAGGGCCGGGAAGTGGGTGGGGGTGTCTAGCAGGAAGCCATGACATCTCCCTGCCCGCACCCAGGACTATCAGCGTATGCTGGACCTGATGAGAGACATCATCCTGGCCACAGACCTGGCCCACCACCTGCGCATCTTTAAGGACCTCCAGAAGATGGCTGAAGGTGCCTGCCTCTAGCCCTGGGTCTTGGGGTTTGGGAGGGACCCCAAGAGGGAGATATGCCTGGAGAGCATACCCAAGAATTTAGACCCACCCCCTCCAGCATCAACCCACCAGGCAGACCCAGCCCCAGTCCCTTGACTCCCATCCAGGGTGCCACATTCCCTGGGCCACTTTGGGGTGGGCTCTGGGGGCCTTGTCCTCGGGGGAGAGGGCCAGGAGACTGGATCCCTCTCCTTGACCCCATCCTTTCCCCAACAGTGGGCTATGATCGAACCAATAAGCAGCACCACAGCCTCCTCCTCTGCCTCCTTATGACCTCCTGTGACCTCTCTGACCAGACCAAGGGCTGGAAGACCACAAGGAAGATTGCAGTAAGGGTCGCCCCTCCCTGGGAAGGTGCAGGCTGCAAACCATGCCTGGCTCTGTGTGGCTCCTGCATCATGAACACCCTTTTCTTTTTTTTAAAATATATCTTTATTGATTTCAGAGAGAGGAAGGGAGAGGGAGAGAGACAGAAACATCAATGATGAGAGAGTTGTCATTGATCGGCTGCCTCCTGCACACCCCCGACTGGGGATTGAACCCGCAACCCGAGCATGTGCCCTGTCCAGGAATTGAACCTCCATCTCCTGGATCCTAAGTCGATGCTCAACCGCTGAGCCACGCCCGGCCGGGCTGAACACCTTTTCTGTACTGAGCTTAGCCTGGCTATATTTTGAGGAGACAGAAACCTAGACCACCTTAAGGTGACAGATGGAGAGATTCAAAGAGGGGAATGGACTCACCCGGGGTCACACAGCAAGTCAGTGTCTGGTGGAAGGTGGGCCAGAACCCAGCCATTCCTCCTCATCTGGAGCCATCCTCCTCACAAACTGGGGATGGTAAAGACAGGCCCTGAGGTGGAGCTGAGGGAGGTCTCAGTTTGCCTCCTTGGGAATGGACTGTGGAGGAGCTTGAGTGGATAGATCCCACTCACAGGATGTAATGAGAGTGTTGACCTTTCAGGAGCTGATCTACAAAGAGTTCTTCTCCCAGGGAGATTTGGTATGTGGGGAATGACCTCAGGGTGTCCAGGTTGGGGGTGGGTTCCTGGCCTGGGGCAGGGAGGGGCTGGGTAAGCCCGATCCTGGTGCCTAATGGAGGAAGAAGAGGCCTGATGACTTGATGCCTGCAGGAGAAGGCCATGGGCAACAGGCCAATGGAGATGATGGACCGTGAGAAGGCTTACATCCCTGAGCTGCAGATCAGCTTCATGGAGCACATCGCAATGCCCATCTACAAGTAAGGGAGCTCATGGGGACTGCTGAGGACTCTACACAGAGAGGGTGGGGTGCGCCTGGGCTGTCCATGGCCATCACAGCAGACACAGGTACTGGGCTTGGCTTGGCCCAACTCCACTGATCCACTCCCCCCTGCCTCTAGGCACAGCTGTCTCCTGCTTTACCCCTAAATGAACCTTTGTCCCCTATGGAAAGAGACCATCATGCTGTCCTTGAGTGTCCAGTCCTATGCCTCACACTTTTATGAAAGTTCTACCTGTGGTATAGCCCTAATCTTTCTTCCTGTCACTGTCTGACTTCTGACCTCTAACCTCTAACCCTGCCCTGTGCACCCATAGGCTGCTGCAGGACCTGTTCCCCAAAGCGGCAGAGCTGTATGAACGCGTGGCCTCTAACCGTGAGCACTGGACCAAGGTGTCGCACAAGTTCACCATCCGAGGCCTCCCGAGCAACAACTCACTGGACTTCCTGGATGAGGAATATGAGGTGCCTGAGCTAGATGGCACTAGGGGCCCTGTCAATGGCTGTTGCAGCCTTGACACTGAGTGAGCCACTCCCAGGACCCTTCCCAGCCCAGGTCTGCTCCTACAACCCTCCACTGGCCTGTCCAAATGCCCTGGGACCAAAGCCATGGGTCCTAGGTTTATGACCAGAACTTCCCGTGTGACCTGGGCAAGTGTTGACCTTCCAGGCCTCAGTGTTCTTGTCTGTATAATGGAAGCAAGACTTCAAGCCGCACCAAGACTTTGTCATTTGTCCTCTGAGAGCACAGGGATGACCCATGAGTAGTGGGCCCTGCTCTGCACCTCTGATCACACCTTGGCAAGTCCTCCCCAAGCCACTCCTTCTCTGAGGCAGCCTGAATGGCTTCTCTTAGACCCCAGTCCTGCCCCACCAGATCTGTGCCCTTTTCCCCTCTCCAGGATCCTCATACAAGGAGAAGGTGGGGCATCTCAGTGAGCAGAGGGTGGGTCTTAGAATCAGTCATTACCTCTGCTGGAGGACTAGAAATAGCCATAGGGCCACAGGTGCCTCTGAGGACCACCATTATACTTATGGTGAGGATGGGGTACTGGGGGTGATTGATGCAGAGACTCCATGAGGAAGCTGCCAGAGAGGCATTTAGTGCTCTGGGAGAAGGGGCTCAGGAAGAAAGCAGGATGGAAACAATGGGCAGGAAGGATCCCTGGGCTGGGAGACCGGCCCCTGTTGAGTCAGCAATGCTTCCTCCTGGCTGTGTGACCCTGGGCAAGTCCCTTCCCCTATCTGTGTGAAACAGGAGGGTGAGACAATCTGTTCTCTGAGACCCCTTTTAGATCGAAGTCCTTGGAGAAGCCATGGAATGCCCCTGAAACCGTAGGGCAAAGAGCCGACCCTGAGTCCCTCAGTGGCCCCCTGAGTGTACCCCCTTAGCCCGAGCCCTTCCCCCATTCCTGTAGCTAGAGAGGGACCTGGCCTCAGCCCTGGCAGGGTGTCTCTCTTCTTCAAGGCCATATCCACCCATGCCCCGGGCTTGGGAGACCCCACAGGGCCAGGCCTCTTGGGTCAGCCCGGCAGCTTCTCCCTTCTCTTGTTCTGTATGTGTTGTGGGGTGGGGGGAGGGGGGCCACCTGCCTTACCTATTCGGAGTTGCCTTTAGAGAGATGCGTTTTTTTAGGACTCTGTGCAACTGTTGTATATGGTCTCGTGGGCTGACCGCTTTGTACATGAGAATAAATCTATTTCTTTCTACCACAGAGCCTGCCTACTTCTCTTGCCCTACAACTTGTTATTGTTTGGAATCTGCTCCTCTGGACTGAATGGCCTTCCCTGGGGGGGCTTGGGCTCCAGGCCCCTCCCTGCCTAGCCTCTGCTTTGGGTTCCCCTAGTCTGTCTCTCTCCTCTTACAAATCAGAACCCAGTCTGACCAGTGGGCCCCAGGTGGGGGTGAGGGTGGGGGTCATTTCCTGGCCCAAGGCTGACGGGATGGCTATTTTAATGTTGCCCAGCTAGCAACAACTTCAGTGTGGACTGACATAAGTACTCCTCTGACTGTGACCCCCAACCCTTAATGTGTCGGCTTGTCCTTCTTCCACCAACCTTTGGGCAAAGGGGAAGCATAACCTGGGTACACATTCTGGGGTCTTAATTTCTCTCCCCTGAATCTAATGTGTCCTCAGCCCAACCCTCCCTTGAGGCCATTTAATCCCATTCCAGGCCCATGCTGTGACACATCCTTCCTTGCCACCAAATTGAGTGAACAACTCACAAATATTTCCTCCCACATGCAGGACCCTGGGCTGAGGCCTAGAGCTAACTTTGTCTTTGTCCCTGAACTGGAGAGTCTAGCAGCCCTGGAGGGGAGAAAGATCTAAACTCAGATTCAGGCTCTGACAACCCTATGGGATGCCTGACCATGGGATCCAGGCAGGATCATAACCCTGAGCAGAACCACAGTGAGGTTTGGAATATGAGCAGGTGTTGTTTTCCTATCAACAAAAGGGCCGGGCATTCCTGGCAGCAGAAACTGCTCATACAAAGGCTCAGAGAAGGGGAGCGACCGGTGCTCAGGGAATGGAGAGATGGAGGGGGGGATAAGGCCAGATCAGGGAGGCCTTGAATGACAGGCTGTGGAGTTTGGCTTTATTTTGGGGACAGTGGGAAGCCAGAGAAAGGTTTTCAGTAGTGGAGTGGCTCAGACATATATCTCTAGCAGAAAGATCCTGCTGGAGAGCAGAGAGAGGACTACAAGGGGACAGCTTGGGCCAGGGTCATTCTAGAGCTGTTCCCTGTGCCGCGGGCTGGGCGAGATGGGGAGGAATTCAAGACACGTTGGAATGGTAGAACTTGGTGACCAGCTGCATGGGGGTAGGGAGCAGAGGTAGGACTGGGAGGTGTCCAAGAAGGTGGGGGTCTCCGTGGCCTCAGTCTTATTGGCAACCAGGTGCTGGGTGGAGCTGCTGGTAGGAGGGAGCTCTCCGGGGAAGATGGGCGGGAGGCGGAGCCTCTGCACAGGGCCTGTGGGCAGCCTTCACAGGTCAGAGAACACAAGGTTTGGTACCAAGTCCTCTTGTAGCTTCCCTGCCTTCCTAACTTAGTGGTTTCATTTTACATAAAAACTCACAATGATTCTGTGGAGGGGGTACTATCACCTCATTCTGTAGCCAAGTAGCTTGAGGTTCAGAGAGATTAAGCCATCGTCTGAAGTTGGAATGTGCACCCTCCTGCATGACTCCCATCCGAGCAAGGGCTTCCTCTCGGACAGAAGGAGATTAAGGTGAGGGTCTCTGTCTCAGTCTCTGCAGGACTGAGGGTGAAGGGGTGGTGAGCAAGTGGGTTGGGGCCCCAGAGAAGAATCTGGGATCCGCTCGGTGTGCACGTCTTGAAGGGGAAGGCAACGAGATAATGGAAGATGGGGTTTGTAGTGCAGCCCTTAACCATCAGGTGGCGCCCAACTCCTGCCCTCACCTCCCCAGAGGTGGAGAAGGCTGTGTAGGATGTATTGTGGGGCTCAACTCACTCCTCTCATACTCAAACACAGAGACATTCTCACATGGACACGTATGCACATTCTTTTTTACACACAGACACACTTCATGCAGACTCTATGTACAGTGTATTCAAGGTACACTGTATACAGTTTCCACAGGGAAAATGGGGAATGTTTCTCAGGGGCTTCCAGCCCCTTTAGCTGCTCTCTGAACAGGACTGAGGTCCATCAGTTCTACCTGAGTGAGATCCCACGTCCCACGGGTTTGTCTGCCTGCTGAGTGGCCTCTCTGTGCAGCAAGATCCCTGGAAAGGCAGCACCAGCTTTGGGATTGGGTGTGGGGAGCCCTCCTTTGGGCATGAAATAACTAGGAGAGGGCACTGTAAGGCTTGATCCTGTGCATATGAAGTTGCAGGAGATCAGAGCAGGAGCAAGCTGTGTGTGAAGGGGCATCAGGAGGAGGCTGGGCTCAGAGGGTCTTGAAGTTTGGAAAGGGAGGACTGGCACAGGAGGTGAGGGTGTTGCTGATAGACCAGGAAAACAGGTGGGAAGGTGAGGGGGTGGGGAGAGGTGTGCCCGGGTTGTGCCCACTGTCTTACTGTCCTGGCTCAGGACAATGTCAATCTCCCAGGGCTCAGTCTCATTGAGATGGGTGGGTTGAGCCTGGGGGTGGGGTAGGTGGGGTCTAGAAGTGGGTAGGGGAAAGCTGCTAAGGATCATTGCCTGATATCCAATGCCTTGAAAACATTTATCTTATACATTTTGTCATTTTGTTGTTATTATTTCAGGCGGGAGGGTAAATCTAGTCTTTATTCTCCTCCTTGGGTGCAAGTGTTAAGACTATTTTATTAACTTTTATTGCAGTATAGTACTCCATGTATGAATATTGGTAGACATTTGGATATTATTATTTTGTTATTAAGAAGAATGATCCTATGAACATTCACATATATATATTGAGTACTCCATTATATGAATATCATTATCTATTTCTATTGATGTATATCTTCAAGCTTCCACCTGGAACCATTTCTTTTTACCTGAAAATACCCTCTCACTATTTCCTTTAGTGTGGGTCTGCTGCTGATGAATTCTCCTGGTTTTTAACAGTTTGAAAACATCTTTGTTTCTCCTTTATTCTTGAAGAATGTTTTGGGAGAGACTGAATTCTAGATTAGAAAGTATTTTCTTTTTGTACTTTGAAGATAAAAGTCTGTCCTCTTTTGACTTCCATGGTTTCTGATGAGAAGTCAGCTGTCGGTCTTGTTATTGCTCCTTTGAAAGTAATGTAACTCCTTCTCTGACTGCTGTTAAGATTTTATCTTTGTTTTTGGTTTTCAGCAGTTTTATCTCAGTGTATTTAGGTATGGTTTTCTTAGTATTTATCCTGCTTGTGATTCATAATGTGTCTTGAATCTGTGATGATTTTCCCTTTCCTCAATTCAATCTTCATTAAATGTAGATAAGCACACTTCCCATATTCCCACAGCATGCTAAGAAACTTCTACTAAATTTTACTGAAATTCTGTGATAGCAAGAGAGAAATAGTGATGCAGAGATGGGGGAAATATTTTAAATCAATCACTAGATTCTCATCCTGGAGGCTCAAACTCACCCTTCCTCAGGAGAGGAGAAGGATCACCAGTGGTGGTCTCTCTCCTTAGCTCCTTATCTGTAGTCAAGGATATGCCCCTGATCAGAGGTTCCTACCTGGAATCAAAACTTTTCATCCTCTGTCTGCTGGCTGGTAAGGAGGAAAAACTACTTTCTCTGTCTCTGTAGTTTGTTTTGTCTCTCAGTAAACACATATTTTAATGCATAGCAGTTTAGTATTTTATTGTTTAGAACCTCTCCATATCAGAATAAGATTTTAGATTGACTATTGAAGGAATTCCCTTCATGACTCTAAGTAGATCCCTGAGTGCTGAATTTTAATCCAACAGGTTAAAGAATAGCCAGTGGGCAGCCAGGGTCCCCTGTCCTGGTGGATTTCTTACTCTTTGCTTTGACTGTTAGGCTTCAAGTGCATCTGTATGAGGTGTTAGGGAGGCATCAGGGAACAACCTTCACACTTGTATCTCTACCAGAGCATTTGCTATTTCAGTGGTGAACCAAAATGGAAGCACTTTTGTTCCTGGCCTGGGTCACCATTCTCACTAATCTTTGCACCTGGGTAAACCCTCTGTGATCTGACCCAGCTCACTGATTATGTATATTTTTTTGAATTCTAGATACAAACATCCAATTGCCCAATCCCTTTTAGATTGCCAACCTGCATCATAGAGGCTGGAAACTAAATTAACATTTCCCACACTCTACTACAGCTTGGGTTTCATGTGTAACCTGGGTTCCATATAGAAGGTGTCCCTGAGAAGACACAGAGGTGGAAGTATGCAATGGGCATGATGACTGCAGGCAAGTAGATAATATCACCTAGAAAGCAGCTATGATGGAGGTGTCTAGGTGCGCTAGGGGCACTCAAGATGGAGTTTTTAATAGCCAGCCCCTCACATAGGTGCCGAGCAACAGATGGCAGAATGGTGATGTTTCCATTAGAAAATTCCCCTGGTTTGCTTGGGCATTTTGGCAGGCTGCATTGTCCCTGACCTTCAACTGTGTAGCACTGAGCCTGATTCTTTTCTCCTTCTGTTTAAACCTTTGGAGATTATGGTTTGTATAGCTAAGGACCTCAACTAATAGTTCTCTTGAGGCACTGATCCCTTTGGTAGTAATTGCCCAACTCCCCCAATAAAATGTGAGCTCCCTGAGGGGACAGACTAAGTCTGGCTTATTTCTGTACCCTTAGTGCTTAGCACAGAGCCTAAGACAGAGAAGGCACGCAGCAAAATGTATTGACTGCTAAATGAAATGTTAGTCATTACAGTGTAAATCTAATCCAAGTGACTGCATCTTCTGAGGGGTGGCCTGCATATCTGGAGGAGTATCTCAGTAGTGATCATGGACGTGCAAGAGTTGCCTCATTCAACTAAAGAAAATAATTTGCTCAGTAAAACCAGGCCTGCATGACGAACAGTCAGACCTCCCATCAGAGGAAATCATGTTCACAGTGGAATCATGCTTGCATGACCAGTGCGGAACATCATTCAAAACCAGCTGGCTTCCAGAATACTGACTGGCAGGCTCCAGGATGCAAAAGGATATTCATCATGAGTGCGGCATATAAAAGTAGGACAGAGAAAAATAACCGAATTTATATTATATCATCATAACAATAATTTTAAAATATCACCAATAGGAAATTTCTCT